AAAACCCACTGACCTTGGTCCAGCTATTTATTGTCCCCAGCCTGAAAGAAGAATTGCAAGACTGAATTTTGTTTGGCTTGAGCCCATGGCTAAGTTATTTGCCTTTGTGCAGCACATCACATTGTGTGTAACCTGGTTCCTCTTCCTTTATCTCCAGAAAGACTAGCTACAGTCCTTTAAAGCCAGGGCACGGAGCATTGTAGGACAGCCCAGAGCCATGGTTATCTGACCAGGAAGGGTGTCCTGAACTGCCAAAACAATCATTTCTTTATCACTCTTCTATTAAGTCCTCTAATTCAAAGAAACCAGCTTCCAAGCATTTACTTCTTTCACTCAGTCTGAACTCCACAGGACACATATACTCTATATATGTCACCATTGAGAGTGGTGAAATGCTGGCAAACACTGCCCAGAAAGCTGTGGGTGCCCCAACCCTGGCAGTGTTCAAGGCCAAGTCAGATGGGGCCCTGGGCAGCTTGGTCTAGTGGAAGGTGTTCCTGCCAGTGGCAGAAGGTTGGAACTGGACTATCTTTAAGGTTCCTTCCAACCCAAACCAAGCTATGATTCCATCATTTTACCGCCAATGAATTACTTTCTGCCCCACCTGCTGTGCTTGTGATTTTCTTGGCTCTTGCAGAACTTACAATGCAACTGAGAGGCTTTTGTTCACCTTCTTCCTTCTTCCTGCATCCCCTGAGATGACTGGTGGCACCACTTCCTATGATTTTTGCCTGAGCTGTCTTGCCAAATGTTTTCACATTTTGAAGTAGGAGAGGAAGGTGTTTCCTGCAAACAGATTATGAATTGAAATATTTCCCTGAGCTCCCATTCACAGGATTTCTAATGCACTGGGCATCAGCTTAGCCCTCTGATGAATAGAAGTCATTTTGTAAAAATGGCACCTTACTGTTGCATATATATTGCCCCTCTGCAGCTTCCCTGGCATATTTATTCAGTTTACTAGTCAAAACTAGTTTCATGCTACACTAAGCCCAGCAGGGTCAACACCTAACCTATGAAAATCAAGCTGTCTTTTTTCTCTTTGCTTCATACATCATCATCAACCAAAGCTGGATAATAGAAAGCAGGTTTTGATCCCAGAATGAGTATTGCTGCTGCTGCCTGGGATTTGACAGGAGGAAAGACAAAGAGGAGGAACATACGAGTTTGCAGTGGCTTGATCCATCAGACGTCAGAAAAACGTATAATATGGTTTGTCCTGTAAAGGAGGGCACCGTGTGGACAAGGCCTGTAAGGTATCTGTGGGAAGGCTGCAGATGCAGGTGTGGCTTGATGTAGATTTACAAAAACACACGGAGAGGTTGGAAGAACTGCAACCCAAGGCTCATGGCAGTAAGATAGCTGACGTTATGGTGAAATGTAGATTAAAAATTATCAAATCAGTGGGCTTCTTGGTTGCAGTCAGGAAGGAAATGAACATCAGGAGTCCTGGAGAGAGACCTCTGTTCTGTACGGGAGTCACTGAGACAAATCCTTTGGCTGACAAACCTAGCAAAAACAAGCTCAGTTCCAAAAACCAACTCAGCCTAAGCCAAACTAACTGCAAATGAAAAACACCTCAAGACATAACAAGCAGGAGCTGAAACATTTCTTATCCCTCTGTGGAGTAAAATTTGTAACACAGTTGCACTTGTTAAAGTTTTGAAAACATAATTAAAATCATGCATTTCCATTGCACGGCGTACACTGAGCTGCAAGTTCAGAGCTGTGTGTGTTCCTGCATGCCACACCTGCCCTGCAAGGTACATCTCTGTGAAGCTGCAGCTCCAGTTGTTGTTTCACATATCACTGTGTTTAGCATGCAACCAGAACTCCTCACCTGCCTTTCCCTGGAACTCAGCATGGCCCCCCTGCTATTGATTAATTTGTGCTAATTAAAAGCAGCAGTGTTTCTGCAGAAAAGAAAGACGTGTAAGTGTCAATAAATTATGGGAAATTTTGCAGATTAAAGATTGCCAACTTCTGCTTGAAAATAACTAAACAAATGCTAATGGTTCTTTCTAAAGAGCCCAAATTTCCTAACGGCTGCATGAATGGGCTCCACTGATCTTCTTCGATTTCAGTGTAGGTAATACTTACAGCACTTCTGTGTCTAGCTTATGAGCTGAAAGACTTTATTTTTTTTCAACATAGGTATTTCTGTTTTCAAAGGTAATTTATTCATTGCTCTTTTCTCATCGTTGCCAGCTACTCAAGCCAAGGCAATGGGTTGAATGAAGACTTTTAAGTGCCAGCAGCCAGTCCACTCTACAAAACAGCACTCCACAAAGCAACAAGGGAATAAACAGGAATTGCAACAAGCCACCAATGCAGCTTGTTAGCAGCTGCTGGTAATAAACCTGCCTAAAAGCAGGTGCAATGAAGAAAACTTTATAAAACCGTAGAAACAGCTGGAGATAAGCCTGGCTTTTAAGAGATGAAACTGTATTCGGGGACTGAGAATGCTTGCTATTTATCTTCTTTGCAGGGCACAGCAGAGTGTGGAGATGTGGAGAAGCTTCAAGGGACAAAAGATATGTCTTAGGCAAGGTACTGCCTTTTCCTCTTCCCATTAATCCTCTCTGGGAATTGCAGGAAGGAGGCAACCAACCACTCCTCTAAGTAGCTGGAGACAAAGGAAGCTCTTTGTGTCTCTGGGTGTGGAGAAATGACCAAAAGGATCATAGGCAGAGCAAAAAGTTCATCACTGATGATGAGTCACAGTCCAAAGCTTGGGATAGTTAAGGGGATGGAGAAGCCCTCAGGCAGGATAAAATTTGCGCAAAGCACTGTCAAAAATGGGGAGCTCAGGATCAGGGTTGGATTAATGGTTTGGATCCCCTGGGCAAGTGCTTTCTATGGGTCTCTTGCATTTCATGGCCTTCTCAACATATAAGAACAAATGACAGGCAAAGTCAGAAAAGCTACAACCATCAGTAATTCTTCTGGCACATTACTTCATTAGTAGCTGTCACTCAGGGATCCAATTCCTTTTTGAGCAGGGAGCCACTACCTGGTGCACAAATGCCACCCAGTAGTTCCTGGGCACAGAGAATGATGCTATCCAGAACCAAAAGCATCACAAACCCAGCACCACTAATAAGGAGATTCATATCCGTGGGGTGATTCTGGAGATGAAGGACAACCAGACCAGGTAACCAGGCAGCAGCCTGCATGCAGCTTTCCTTTCCCTGCTCTGGCTCCTGTCTTAACCATCCTGCTCCCAGTTTCCACACACAACACAACATCTTTTGTTGCTGACAGGAAAGCCAACATATTGCCAGTACAGCTTCAGGTTATTCTGGTTACCAAAAGGAGCCTCCCAGTCTCTACATGATAATCCTCAGGGCACAACGACTAAAATCCAAATGCACCTAAGTTTTGCAATTGAAGATGCAGACAGCATCAGCAACAGGCATCTTCAGCATGGACAGTGCACTGATTGATTTTCAAGTGGGAGGAGAGAATTCCCCGGGAAAGAGAAGGGCTACAAGGCCTGACTCGACACCATTGAGGCTGACGAAATAGAAGATTGGCAGCAGAGACGTGTGTGTCATTCATTACAGGTTTAGGCTTAATGACAGCCTCTTGCCCTTGATCTTTGGAGCTGTGTGAGGGAGCACAGGGGAGGAAGAGCTTAAATGTCAGCTCTGCACCGAGGCAGGAGAACTCCCTGCATTAGCGGCGGCTGGCCAGGATGAGGTCCCGTCACGGTGGGAGCATCTCATCAGACATGCTGAGAGCAGCCGTGACAAATCAGGAAGCTCCTGCCGTTGGCTTGGTGGGATTAATTAATTTCCACATTGTCGCTGCCTCCAATTAACTCTGAGGCTGCAGGCTGGGACCTGCTGGGTTTTGGTAGGGAGGGATCGGCAGGGTAATGAAGGCTGGTGTGTGGGAGCTGCTTGGCAGCACAGGGGCAGGGTCTCATCTGCATGTATGGGAAGAGAAATGTGCCTGGAAGGAAGTAGAAATGCAATATCAGTATAACAGCGCAAAGTCACACAGTTGGATGCTATACAAGTAAGAATTTCTTTTGCAGTTCTGGGGGAAAAAGGGACACCTTTGGAAATTTTTCTTGGTAGATACAATCACAAGAAGAAAACTCATCAGCATGAGTGTTTGTAGAATAAACAGGGAAATGTGCTGCCCAGGGAGGTGGTGGAGTCGCCATTCCTGGAGGTGTTCAAGATCTGCAGAGATGTGGCACTGAGGAACATTGCCAGTTGGCAGAGTGGGGATGGGTTGGGGTTGGACTGGATGATCTTGAAGGTCTTTTCCAGCCTTAATGATTCTATGATTCTATGGTTCTATGATACTGATAGCACTGTACAAGGCAGTAGTAAGACTGCACGTAAGATATTTTGTACAGATTATAGTTATGATCAGGTCAAATTAGCTTACGCTGAGAAAGGCAGCATACTGAAAATGCTAAGTCATGGCTTGAAACAATGATTGAGCACCTGGTGGGAAGGCAGGGCCAACCCAGGGGAGCTCAGGTGCATGCAATGCAATGCAGATGAGTTACTGGAAGGGGAGCCAGGATTCAGCCCTTCCCAGACCTCATTTAAGGGTTGGCAGTGGAGGCAAGGGTATCATCATGGAAAGTCCTGTGTACCTGAGTCCTTCTGAAGGTAAGAAGTTGTTTTTTTTTTGTTTGTTTTTTCCTTCTGTACTCATAGTTGCTGTGTTTTAGTAAACTCTCGCTTGTTGTAGCCTAGGACCTTGCTACCCTGCTGTGCTTTTCATTGCTACAGGCACTGAAAGGTGGTGTCTGCTAAGAGAAGGCTGTAAGCTAGATGTGATGGGTTTCAGTCTGTAGATTCCTGGTGTCAGAAGGTCTCTGGGCTGTAAAATGTCCTCCAAAGCTGCTGTTTTTGTTTTTGTTTTGTTTTTGTTTTGTTTTTGTTTTGTTTTTG